TTTACTTTTTTTGAAATTTTATCTATGCTAAGCACTTGATCTAAAAAGCGTCGGGAAATTCCCTGTTTGGACGGATTATAATTATGTAACCATATACACCTGTGTAGGTTGTAAGGTTCCCAAGTGTTGTGTAAGATTATTTCTTACATATTTTTTAACGCATTATACGTGTGTTATTATAACACGCACACACAAGTACATACAGAGTACCCCGCCCCTAGACAACGCCCCTTTTCTTTTGTATTGTCCGATGTTCTTTTTTGTCAGTCGATTTCTCAAGAAGAAAGGTAAAAGATTGTTGGTATCAGTATGGCCGTCCATCCATACCGGGTGTCGGCAACATACAGTCCGCGGGTCTAACCCGGCTCGCCTGCATGGTTGCAATTGCTAGTTCAACAAATTCTAAATAAATAGTCCCTTGCTTAAAAAGCTCTCAGCTGACTGAAATGATCAAACCCAGTGGACCAGTGCTGATATCATTCAGTATCACTGAAATGTCACTGGTGATTTTGTTTATTATAATTAGAGTATTTACTCTATCACTCCTGTATAATAAATACGTGTTTGGAAAAGAAAGTTTTTTCCTTTCCATATTAAGTTTAGCACCCGACCCTTGATCTATACCTTCCCGCGCACATTCCATGCCTTTTAATTTCTTCCATGCAATTTGTGTGGTCTGTCGTGAAATGGGCTATAACGCTCCATTAGGAGTGTTCCCAACTTTGATATCATTAATGATTAATGATTGATAATCCTAACCCTAACCCTAACTCTAACCTAAATGACATTAAACCACAAACTAATATATGACCATGACCATATATATATATATATGTTATTATGACCATTAATGACATTAAAGTTGGGAACACTCCTAATGGAGTATCACCCGTGAAATTGTACGATGGCTAAGAGCCTGTCATATTACGTTGTGCGTGCAGTGTGGCTTATGAGTTTGCTCAGTCCCACAGATATCAACTCACCTTTTAGTTGTATGCGCAGGCAGTGACAGCTCAGTTAGTTGGCAGCCATGGTTGACAGGCGAAGGCGGATTAGAAGGGATTTAAAATGTTTCTATCATGAAAATCTGATACAGCAGGTGTCTAGATTACAGAGTGATCACGGGTTGAGATACATACCTGCAGGAGTAGATAATAGGGAATTATTCCCTAGGGAAATATATAATATATAATAGGGAATTATTCCCTATTATCTACTCCTGATACCTGTGATACGTGATACAACGTACCTGCAATCTCAAGCACGCGAACGTATAGACAAGATGCATGTATGTTACTTATATACGCACCAAATAGTAAGTGATTGACTTGTAGTTAGGTGACTGAAATCTACCAAAAAGAAATCTTATTGGTTTACAGATACGACCAACTCACAGTAAAAACTTCGACCTAAAACGATGAATTGTGTTGGTGCACGTGCCAGAAATCAACAAAAAATAGGCGGTAATCTGCAACTCGCATTTTATAGTGAACACAACATAGATGAAACTCGATCAGCAGCTTTGTCCGCTGTCGGAATCTTATACAAGTTACATTCAGAATGATCATACTATTTTTAACACGTTTAGTTTTCTTAAAGTAAAATCATTGGTATCCCAATTTCTATAAAAATGTTCAAATGCATAACATGGCGAGAGTCTCTGCTGGACAAATTTGGACAGCCATTTGATTTCATTATCACAAAATTCTATTAGTTTTAGTATCGTTTACTTTCCAAAAACACAAGGAGTAAATGATTATAGCTGATAACTAATTTTGCTGTCATTTTGTTAACGGCCAGCTAACAAAGGTAGTCGTGCCTCACATGGTCATTTCACATTCATGTATTCTTTCACGCACAATACAAATAACCACGTGTGCGACGCTGAATAGAACAACTAAATAAATGAATTGCTTTCGGAATGTATCGAGTTGGTATTCCGTTTTGTTTCAATCTTTGTGGTATAACTCTGTAGTGATGGTTAGGCAGGACTGAAACCAGTGTGAACAGATGTCAGGGGCATCATGTGAATTTGGGATATTTTGCACTGTTTGTGTTGGTACAGAAACGAAAAACGCACGAGTGATCTAATTTTTCGCGTACTTGCCAATGGCGCACCGAGGCAATGTTATACCGCTTGACCTTTGACCTTTGACCTTTGACCTTAAAGGACAATTGAAGTCAAATTTCATAACTTCTGTAACGTTTTTATACATAGAAATACATTCAATAACGTATTCCATTTCAAATCCCATGTGACGTCATGGCCCCATGTTGAGCGACGCCACGCTAACGCAAGTTGAGTGTTGTGTATAAGATGGAAACAGACGGCGATAATTTCAATGATCAATTCTAGTGATTACTCAGATGATGATGATATTTATAGTGATTTACCAGTTGGATATAGGTTTGAGCCTATATCCATAATCATAATCTATAAGAAGAAATTGAGGAGAATAGTCTGAAAAAGCAACGCAAAGAATCGGCACAAACTTCTCAAGAATCAGAACAGTCACAACATGGCGGAATGGAAGCTTCGGTACCCGATAGGACTGTAGACAAATACTGGTGTTCTTGTGGTGTTTGTGAATTAATGAGTACGGCACCTGAATGTATATGCTGCCATGAGAATGAGAAGACCAGGGTTATTGTAGACCAGTTCGACGCTAGACCAGGTTAGTCATGCGAGTACACTGATCACCGGGCTTATCACGCTCGATCAGAATCATGTATCTGTACATGTACATGTATCTACGCACGGCAAGTCATGTACATATACCGTGAATGCATTATCCACACAGGTAATATGTATGTACATGAATATAAGTACATTTACAGTTTTGTGTTTGTGTCTTGACATGATAAAGCATGAGAAATAACAAAAAACAACGAATATTTAACCACCGCACACACTATGTTTACATAATGGCGTCGCTCAACATGGGGCTGTGACGTCACATGACCTAGATTACTATTCAGTTATTTCTATTGTGTTTATTACTAATTGGGCGCTAGATTTGAAATTGAATACGTTATTGAATGTATTTCTATGTATAAAAACGTTACAGAAGTTATGAAATTTGACTTCAATTGTCCTTTAATTGACGCTGAGACTTTCCGATCTCACTTATTATCTTGACGTGATTTCCAGACAGCTCTAGCAAATTATTGTTGCAATAGGATATGTTCTAAAATATATTGCCCAGGAATTGACCATACTTACCTAGTTTAATCAACATAATCAACCGGCTCTAGCCAAACCAGTACTGCGATCAACCAAACAGACAGCATGTTTTATATAATGACAATGTGTAATTAGGAAATCGATCCAGCGCAGACGGTCGTGATGGCATTTTCTGGTCTGCCAATCCATATATCTGTCTAACATGTTTACTGCAAATTCACGCAAAACATTGAGGCAATTTCTGCGCAGGAAATTATTTTTGGCTGAAAACCTATTTTATTACTTTTTGTGTGGCTCTATGGAGATTGTAGGAATGCAACTTACACAAAAACGTGAATATTGATTGTGTGCCTACTGGTTGTTGAAAAATATTATGATGCATATTTTGACAAATGATGATATGAACAGTAAAAACTTACTGTTTATCTGGAATTCATGTAGATATTAACGTTATTTTACAGTTTTATCAACCTAGGAGACAAACGTAACGTAAAGTTATACTCCGTTTGAGCCGTGTTGTGCAGGTAGCAGCTACGCATGTGTTGCTATGGAAACAAGTCCTAAATTGCTATTGATCACCTGAGAGTAGTCTCCAAAAGTTCACTCAAACTTGGAAGAATACGTAGCAACTTCGCCGAGTCGGAAATTGTGCGAAGTCTCGTCGATAGCGAAGCTAGACCTGCTAGACCTCACTCGGCGCGCTGGGGAATCCGTGAGATCAGCAATTAGGCACTGGCGCGCCATGCATGCTTGATGTAAGGTTGTCCACGCTTCGTACTGCGTATACATGCGCTCACTCATTAGTCAACAACCACGTGCACGTGTGTATATGAACAGCTAGCATCCTAATAACGATTTTTCAATACTGCTCCGCATACTTCTATTTAACGTAGTGTAGCTAATGCGGGGCGGCACTCGCGTAGACTAGTGGTAAGGCATGGTTGAATTCGAAATAATTGTGGAATTTCCATAATTTTTCCTGGGTTCCTACACGTCCACTGTCATTCACTAGCTGTTATATAATCAGTAATCAGTGGCAATTGTATTCATTATTTAGTGAACGTGACATATATCATTAGTGAACATCTGCTTATAAATCCGTGTTTCCTGGTTATAGCATTCCTGTGGCTAACGTGTCTGCATTGCTAGAGCGTCGTCCACAGACCCTTGTCATATATATATATGCGTTCACCATACTGCGTAGACTCGGTGGTTCACTTCAAACGTCTGCAGAATTAAATTAAATTAATTCTCTAGTATGTAATTGATACGGACCTTGTGAATGTACGCGTATTCACATGAACCGAATATTTGCATTGCTATATGTAAATGAACGCAGTGTGCACTGCACAGTTCCTAATACATCTGGCCACGATGTGAGCTTCTGAGAGACAGGCTCCGGGTGACCACGTAAAGGATGACGTGCCTTTGATATTTCTCCTTTGACTACTCATGAATGATAGATGACGCATGAAAATCCACGTAATATATAGATATCGTGCGGGCGTGCGTGCGTGTATGTGTGCGTGTGTGCGTGCGTGCGTGTGTGCGTGCGTGCGTGTATGTACTTGCATGCTGAATTACACAGTAACACAGGTAAATGTAGGGGCAGCATGCAGATACCGCACGTATTATCGTTCTCAAAATCGCGGTGTATGATCACTCCAATCCTGCCATCTGCGTGTAAGCCTGCATGCGTGTGAGGAGCATTCTTTCTCGCTGTGTGCGAAATGCTAAGTGTACGTAGTCAGAAGTTTGTGATAGACTCGTAATTTTACATAATCATAATGTAATAATTTGGTTTAATTTTCTGCAGAGATATTAAACCAGACAACATACTCCTGGATGAAGAAGGTAAGGCTCGTGTAAACTACGTGTAAGTTAGATTTATAGGCATAAATAGCCCCATTATTCAATTTAATAATATAACGTTTTCATTTAAACTATTAAATATAAGCAAATTAATCGTTTTTTGTTTAGTGTAAATTGACCAAATAAAAAATGCCAATCAAGAAAATGTCCTAACCCTTTTTAAACCAGTTGACAAACTTATATTTAGTGTTGTTATACCTTTGCTGTAGTTCGCTAGTAGTTTTTGTTATTGATTGCCACCTACCCACTTGTTAAAATGCTTGCTTGGATAAATATAGGCAAGAAATCCGTTTACTCTTCCTTTTTAAGTGTCTATGATTAACTGACCAGCTGTTCATCTTATAGGGCATGTACACATCACAGATTTCAACATCGCCACAGTATTACAGGAAGGCCAGCTAGCTACCTCGATGTCGGGAACAAAGCCTTATATGGGTAAGCTAGACCTGTCGTATAGCTGTGCTGTTAAATTTAGATACTTTCACAGTCACGTTCACACGTACGTACGGGCACAGTCTATAATGTCCATACCTGTGACGAGACTGACAACATCAATACTCTACCGCCAACATCAATACTCAAATTCGCAATAATGCAAGTGTACACAAAAACAAGCGTTGAAGCACAATATATAATGTATGTTACACACAATCAATGTAAACACACAAACACGCGTGCAAAGATACAAATGTGCATGATTGTGTAAATGCATTACCATGCGCAAATATTGTTAGAGACAGGTCCAGAAAATAAATGCCAGATGCGGCTGTGTCTCGCTTATTTGCTACTGTGGGCTATAGCCAAGTTTCTGCTGGTTTTTAGCGTTGTGACGTCGGTCGACAGAGCGGATGTGACAGATTGTTTACGAAGAATGCAAAATCCTGACAGCATATATCTGAACAACACTCGTGCATTATAACTCTCCACTTTATCAAGTTGTTACTTTCTCGATTTTTGTTCTCCATTAAACTACTCGTTCCTCGTGTGCTTTCGCGTGCAGCTGTGTTTGCATGTCAGTGATATTCGTATGCGAGCTCACTGTTATTGATGATACTTTTGAAATCTTCGTTAAGCCCGGCGCACACGTGAGTAATTTTACTCAAGTAAAATGACGCATGAGTCATTTTACTCACGTGTGCGGCGGATTTTCGTTGAGTAATTTGACTCATGCGTCATTTTACTCAACGTGTGCGCGCGCGCTGAGTAAATTTACTCAACACTGGTACTCACAGCGCATGCGTTTAATTCATTGTGCGCTCAGTATTGGCTGCGCACAGTCACGTGATCTGCATCACCACTTATTCCTTGAGTAATTTTACTCACGTGTGCGGCGAACGCTGAAAATATTACGCGTGAGTATTTTGACTCATGCGTCATTTTACTTGAGTAAAATTACTCACGTGTGCGCCGGGCTTTAGATATATAAGCATCATCATCGTCCCTCTCGCGGTGACGTAGACCTGCGACGACGGCTGTGCCCACGTAACGTGATCATCATTGTGTAATCAAACGATAGTTTCTCGGCTACTCGCGCGCGTAATGTGGAGAGAGACCCGACGTTATCGACTTACGTGCCTCGCTCGGAGATCGGCTGTCGAATCTTAATTTGACTGCGCCCCCTCCTCCTCCCCAGAGCAGCCTGCGGTAGATACATACGCTGGCATTCGGCGCGCTCGCGCTGCTGCCTAGAGCTCTGAACGATCGTTCTTACATCATGTACAAAACTCGCGCACGGCGGGAGTTACCTCTGAAGCGTATATACGTTAATACACAGCTTAGATAAATGCCAGTGTGTGGGAGGGGCAGAGGCGTTAAGCCTCGTTTTCCTTACTAGACGTGATGCGGCCATGATGCCGAGGCGAGCCGAGGATTGACACTTTGTGTCCTCCAATCACATCTTACGCCGCACCTCCCTTTGAAATTTTTATAGGTGGTGACCCATCACAGTACCAAATCGCCGATCTCAGGAACTAGGGCATTCTGCTAGGTTTCCTACGATATAGTTTGGCACAAAAACGAAAATAACACGCCGTTTAGCGCACTGCGCTACGTACTTCTGTTGCATTTTCGCATCTCCGTAATCAGAATAAGCCCCGCCTTCTTCGTTGATGGGCTATGAATGGGGCGTCACTGACGTGACCAGTTCCTATACCGACTGTGTTTACTTTTTGTAAATAATGAAATGCCCGGCCGATGCTAGACTGGTACCCGTTCGCCACCTTCACTCCGGCAAGTATCCTTTCGCTACACTGACGCTGTTAGTGTAGCGTGTGGAACTGCCGACTGGTTACCAGTCTAGGCCGATGCCAAACTGCATGCAGTGCACCTTTGTACACTCAGGATACTCGTAGATTGAGCCCATGAGCGAGAGCGCATCTGTCGTGGAGTTTGGGCCGATGCGATGCATTTTCTGCGTTTTCTGCGGGATTATTATTTTGCGCAGGCACTCATTTTCAAAATCCTCCAACATTTTTACTTCTTCCATTAAGTCCATGTTTCACTGTTATTTAGGAAGGAAGGTAAAACTGTACATTCGTATCATTTCACTCTTGCTTCTATAGTATATGATTTCCATAATTTTGCTCTTCTGCCCATGATAATATTTCCCTCATCGTGAACCTACATTTTTCAGTTCGGACTCTTATCATATCGTTATAACTTCCTATATCATTAATTAAATCCCCTAGGTATGAATATTTGGTGCATTTTTTGATTACTTGGTTGCCTATTAATATCTCCTTCTCTATCCTTTCTTTGTTGGTGAATTTTATAACCATTGTATTTGTTTTGTTCCTATTAAATTTTAATCTTTTTGATTCAGCTAATCTGGAGCATGACTGAGCGATTTTTGTTACTGTTTTATAATCTCAAATTCCTAGAATATCATCCATATATAATCATTGTCATCTTCTAAAACTACAGACCATTCGTTGAACGCTGTGGAGACGTGCGCCGGGCCTCGAATGTGGCGCACGTCTCCACTGCGGACAGCGCTTCATACTTGAACATCCCTGCTGTCGCGTGCGCATATCCAGCGGAACTGCGCGTCTCATCCACGCGCAGCGCTTAGGATCAACAGCAAAGCTGTGCTACTCAATCTTGTATCATGTTACTCTGGATTCACGTTGGGGGTTAGTATCTCCCCACTGTATGAATGTCAGTGTGTGTGGCGGGCCATGAAGCCTTGATCTCTTCCTAGCGACGACGTCGACATAATTGTGTCGTTTATGTTTTTCGCTGCCACAGCGCCAGAAGTATTCGACACGGCGGTGGACGAGTGTCCGGGATATTCATACCCCGTCGACTGGTGGTCGTTAGGAATCTGCGCGTACGAGATGCTGCGTGGAAAGGTGAGAGAGTTGGCACACCTCTCTGGGCCCAGGTGTGCAATGCAGGGGCAGACATGAAATGGCCTAGGACTCACTCGTTCCAGCCCTGCCTCAGCAAACGTCTAAAATATGTCAGATGTAATTGATTATAATTTTAAAAAAATGCACGAAGACGAACGTTTATTTTATAACTTCATCATGGATGCAGCTATTATGCATATACTGTGTGCACCGTGTCGAAAGGAAATTGGGTTCTTGTACCTACCTTAACCCCATTCCTGAACTGCTGGTTCAGCAATGTTAAACACTCGGTCATTTGATGTGGCTTAAACAGGGGTAGAAATTACCTTTTGAACAAGGTAGTCCAACGGACTCCCTGCCCTCAAAAAGAGGGAGTCTGCGGCAAAATGAGGGAGTCTGCAGTCTGAAGTTCAAAATTAAAGATATTAACAATAACGCATGTGCTTATTTTGAAGATTCATGCGGTTGCACGTCTGCCAAATCTTTGGACATTTGCTGAAAAAATACGGTAATTCCGCGAGGCCGTGCTCTGGAACGAACTAGTTAGTATGACAGAATATTCAGGGAGTCACACGGACTCCTGCATATGTCAAATCAGGGAGTCCGGCAGTAAATCAGGGAGTATTTCGTTTCAGACCGTTAATTTCGCACCCTGCTTAAATATTACATATTCATATTAGAAGGCAATGTTGCCTGTTCAATTGAATCTAAGACCTTTTTAGATTGTTGTACAATATAATTAACTTGGTTCATGTTATCGAAAGTAAATTTCAATATAATTAAAATTATAGATCGTACTTCACTTCCTAACATTTTTCTATTAATTTTATACTGTATAAAATAAACAGATAAGTCAGTGCATATTTTCGCAATGAAAACATTATCTGCTTAATGAGACTTCCGTGTATATTTCAGCCCGATGTGGGCAGAAGTAAGTCGAGTTTTTCTGTAACATGTTGCCTTTGAGTGCAAAACTTTTAGGGAATGCTTTTATGTCGACACTTACATAAAATTTTGTTTGTTTTGCAGCGTCCTTATGATATTCATTCAGGAACATCATTGGAAGATATTCGACAAGGGTTCACAGTACCAATTAGCTATTCGTCATCATGGAATGAAGGCATGAGAAATATACTAAAGCAGGTACAGACAGCAGTGAGCCAGGGCAGTAACACTGATGTACATATAGAGGTGGCAGTAGTGGCATGATGTGCATGATTTTAATCACGATAACTTGTTTATGATAATTTCTTTAATAACTTCATCCTTAATAAAATACTCCCATGCTAATTAAACTTTTACAATTTTGCAAAAAGAGAAAGATTTTATTTAAAACATTTGAGCAAGATTAATAGAATGATAAACAGTTGCATCTACGAAGTGATCTGTGTTCAGTATATTAAACAGAATCCCAAGAGGAATACTGCAAAAAGCAATTCATATAAGTACATAGGATTCAAAGAACTGTTGTGATTTAATTAGTGTCAGGTTTTACACAAATATTGGCTATATATCAGTCATTCTGCTATGCTTATTTTATTTTTACTATTACATTAAACCACATACACAGCCCGATGCGGATGATGCAGCCAACTACGTTCTACTAATGTAGAAATATGGCCGCCGCCGTATGTTTTCCTGACTCACGTTATACTCATTGATTTAAACTGTTTAAATGACGTGTGTTCGGCCAAAGAAATAAACACAAAAGGGGGAAAAAAACTTTGATGAATAAGAAGTATCGCGTGTCAGTCATAATGGATGAAAAACGTGACAAATGCTCCGCTTTCACAGCCGCAACTTTAATAATCTGATGGCGCAAGCTCTTGGGTAATAAGACAGCGTTCGGTTGCTTACAGCATATAGGAATGCGGTCGTGCATGGCAACGCGTGATGATTGCATCGCATTCCACGACGTTGCGCTCGATAATTGACGCACTGGCTAGTAATCATTTTCTAGAGTGCATTTCCATATTCTCACAGCTAGATCAAAGTCATTGTGAAGTTGCTCCTGACCGTCCTGACCTTTGTTTAAAGTTTGACTTTCTCAAATTATTTTCAAAATTCGGGTTCGTTGCTTATTCTCTGTTTCACCTTACAGTTGTTGACAGTAGACCCAGCTGAACGAATTTCAACATTCGAAGACTTGAAATCTCATCCCTTCTTGTCCGACCTTGACCCCCAGAAGGTGTTGAGGCGGGAGTTCAAGCCAACTTTCGTGCCTGCGGTGAGTACCACATGTGCAGATCATGCTTATCTAATATGGTCCTGATAGGCTCCCCTAAGTCCCAGTTCTTGGAAAATGCTTGTACCTGTTATTGGTTCTTGGTAAATATTTCTCACTGAATTTTGTTGATGAAATTACTAAAGGAAGCTGAAAGCCAAGACTGATGCTAAAAATCGTTGTTTGTCGAAGTAAAGGTTAAAATGTATGTTCATTCTACAGATCACGGTATTTACTCCACTGTCAGCACCGATATTTAGTCATACTCCCCGAGGTTCTTGTCTAACCGCTAAACATTCACGTGGCTCCCCTCCTGCCACACACATTTCTTTACATGTCACTGCGGCAGTCTGAATAATCAGTTTTATTCAGTTTGAGCCCCTAATCATCAGGTTATGCCCCTAAGCATCCCTCTCATCATGTTGGATGTCACCAATTATAACATCAACGGTCTGTAGCATGCATGGCACGAATTCCTCTATAGCTAAAGCTAATGTAATTTGCGTGCAAAAATAGGGTATTATTGGACAGGGACGAGAATACTTAGCTTATAGTTGTTGAAAGCACTAGTTGGAAATAGTTGCCTAGTGTTCTAATTGGATTTACAAACAGGCTGATAACGACACGAACATACTACATAATACTATCAGGAGTTCATGAATAAATGTATGTAATTATTAATATATGTACTCTTAATAATATGGTCATGTACCATGTGCATGACGTATATTAGCTGTGTAACTTCTGTTATGTACGAATATAATTAATATGCATCATAATATACATATGCTTTTGCATTTTTGTTCAACAGAAGGACCATTTAAATTGTGACCCCACATTTGAACTGGAAGAGATGATTATTGAGGCAAAGCCTCTGCACAAGAAGAAGAAACGATTAGCAAAGCAGAACTCAAAGCGAGAGAGTCAGAACAACTTATCTGGAATGGTAAGCGTGTAGCAAGAATAGAGAGTACAATGTTCATTCATACTACGCTTCTCCTCGTGCTGTCTTTTTGTCGCTGCTACCATGATTCCCCGGGTGATGTGTTTTTTTAATTGCTCTTTGCTCACAGCGTGTTTCTTTATTGCTATTTTCCCACGCGGTTGTTGTCAATTGTGTTTGTGCCCCGGGCCTGCGTTGCTTGCTATATTCGGCGTGGGCGTTTATTGTGCCGCCGTGTTCTCATCATTGTGTGAGTCACCGCGTGCAGTTTAGAGCTGAATCGCTATTGATAGGCGTGCTCTTACCTGTTTAAACACCGGCCACTACCCTGTACACAGACGCATAGTAGACGACTAGACGTCGAATCGATTAGGCAGAGATAATAGGGAGGCAGTCAGTCGAAATGGCTGGCTGACGCTGCGGTCGCTAGTGGTTCGTACCGGCGCTATTCCCTTCACCTACATTTACTGTACTAACCTGTAGCAGTGTGTACGTGATTATGCACGTTTAGCTGCGCCCGTATGGTGCACGCATGTGCCTGGAATTTAAATAAGAGTGATAGTGCAGTGTCACGAAATGGAACACTCATCTAAAATAACATTGTGTGTTATGATGAGAAATATTAGTAGATTGTCTATACTTTATTTATCACGAGTAAATAAAACAAAATTGTAACAAAATTGTAAACAAAAAAGAGCTGGTCCACGCGTGAACTGACAAGCGTAGATGGAATGTACTCATGGATAAGGTTATGTGTAACTTTTGTTCATGACTGAACGGAGAGGTGTTTTGACGAGTTAACAGTCACTTATCACATACTAAGTGCTATTGCTGTCTTATAAATATGTTACTAGTCATAGTTCCATGTGATGCGCATGTGTGTGTAATATGTATGGGCGTGTGCGTGCGTGCGTGCGTACGTGCGTGCTTGTGTCTGCAATTGTTGCAACAGCTTGTCATGGGCGAGTTACAAAACTATTTCAACTTGCCTCATATATACCAACTTTATCCTTAACTAGCTGGGCAAAGGCTGTAGCTGCCGAAGCCTTACTTTGATTAACCGGTCTCTTTTCTGATAGGACATGGACCCATTGCAGCTGTGCCTAGAAAACATAAACGACGAGTTTAAAGTTTACAATCGTGAAGAGTAAGTATATATTTATATCATTCATATATTTCATTTATAGTGTGCTTTCACAAATTGGTAAGTAGCCATTGCTAGAACGAGCATGGCGCCACGATGATATTACTAAGGTTAGTATTCAGATGAGACTAGCTATGTCAAAAAGATGTCATGACATTGCAGATGTTGCACTATAAAGGAAACTGGATGCATCCTGTCATGGGATCACTGGGTACACTGGAGACAGAAATGCTTCTATTAAAGGAATAATAGGTCCATTGATTATGCAATGTTGACGAATGCTAGAGTAACTGGCACCTTGTGTAGTTAAAGGAATAATATGGCCATTGATTATGCAATGTTGACGAATGCTAGAGTAACTGGCACCTTGTGTAGTTAATAAGTACATTACCTTATAGCCAAACGCGTATGAGTTTGTCTAATATCACTGCTGGTTACATTACAAACAAGACTTGAAATCGGCCGTAAATGTCATCCAGGAGTCAAGCGATGACGTAAACATTTGTGCGGCTCGTATGTTTTGGACGCCAGATGAAACGGATGGCGGTGTCAGCGGTGTAACCACGGCCAGGGACTAAACATGGAAATAGAGTAAAACACAGGTACTAATCACGGACGCACGTGGACAGCCCTGACAAAAAGTTCCTTATCACGAGCGTCCATTTTTACGAAATCACTGATGATAGCATTGCGTACGGCCGAGCATGCGTGCGAAAATGTCCGGTGCACTATAAATCTGTATCACACCCGCTTCGCCGGCAACGCTTTGAAACTGTAAACAACTGATTTTTGGACTGCGGATTTCAATTAGACATTTCTTAGTAACCAGCAGTGATATTGGGCAAACTAATACGCGTTTGGCTATAAGGTAATGTACTTATTAACTACACAAGGTGCCAGTTACTCTAGCATTCGTTAAAATTGCATAATCGATGGGCCAATTATGCCTTTAAAGGCATAATTCGACCATCGATTATGCAATTTTAACGAATGCTACAGTAACTGGCACCTTGTGTAGTTAATAAGTACATTACCTTATAGCCAAACGCGTATTAGTTTGTCCAATTCCATTGATTATGCAATGTTGACGAATGCTAGAGTAACTGGCACCTTGTGTAGTTAATAAGTACATTACCTTATAGCCAAACGCGTATGAGTTTGTCTAATATCACTGCTGGTTACATTACAAACAAGACTTGAAATCGGCCGTAAATGTCATCCAGGAGTCAAGCGATGACGTAAACATTTGTGCGGCTCGTATGTTTTGGACGCCAGATGAAACGGATGGCGGTGTCAGCGGTGTAACCACGGCCAGGGACTAAACATGGAAATAGAGTAAAACACAGGTACTAATCACGGACGCACGTGGACAGCCCTGACAAAAAGTTCCTTATCACGAGCGTCCATTTTTACGAAATCACTGATGATAGCATTGCGTACGGCCGAGCATGCGTGCGAAAATGTCCGGTGCACTATAAATCTGTATCACACCCGCTTCGCCGGCAACGCTTTGAAACTGTAAACAACTGATTTTTGGACTGCGGATTTCAATTAGACATTTCTTAGTAACCAGCAGTGATATTGGGCAAACTAATACGCGTTTGGCTATAAGGTAATGTACTTATTAACTACACAAGGTGCCAGTTACTCTAGCATTCGTCAACATTGCATAATCAATGGACCTATTATTCCTTTAATGGTGTATTTTTGGAAGTTGCGGACGCTATAGTGATGCGAGAATAGTTGAATATTGAGATACTTTTTACAGCGAGTTTTTCATAAAAAAGCAGCTTTTACTGGAATTTTTTTAGTATAATAAACAATATATTTGCTTTTTGATTGCAAATTTGGTGTAAAATTTCGCTCTGTGTTATTGTGTAATAATTACAAGTGTTTATTACAGGTCAGAACATATATTTTGTAAAACACACGAGCAAGATTTCTGTGATAAAATGAAGCGTGTTCTTACAGTGGTTATGACAAAAACGGTTTGACCAAAACTATTATTACGACTAGCTATCGATTTAACAACAGCCCCCTTGGTATAGCGGGCGTACATCGACCAAGCTTCTCAATTTCCTCGCGACGTCACAGCATCGCGCGTATCACCGTCCGATGCTCCCGCGAGATGACGAGAATATCAGCGGCGTACACATCGCAGCTTAATTGGGAATGGTGGGGGATGGTGGTGGGGGGGCATATGTACGTTTCAGTTGATTAGTGTGGAGCAACGCACGAATGGCTGACCTTTATCAGTGGTCACGTCATCGTCGTCGTCATGAGATGTGCTTCCTCCGTCTGAGCGAACGTGCTGTCACGGTTAATTCATCGCTGCGTGCACCAATGATTGATGCGCGTTCTGGGAATCGAACACAGCATCAAGACGGCGGTTTCGCCGATGCTACATATTCTGTCCGCTATAGTTTAAAAAAGACATTAGAGTTAGGGCGGTCCACTCCACGTGACTTCCCAGAGTGATAGATATCACTCACTTTTTCATTTAAAGTGAACTTCTAGCAACTCATCAGTGAACATACGTTGACACGGCTGCCAATACGGCATGCTTACTAGTCAGGGCATTGTGTGCGTGGATTTGACAAACCTAGGTGCTCACGCATACGTTACCACGCGCATTGGCATAAGGCGCATTCACACGGACGTTTTTAGCCGAGTCTAATTAGGCCCGTGCTAAATTTGGCTCGAATCGAGCGTTCACACGGACGGTTTTCGGGGCCGTGCCGAGTTAGCACGAGCCAATTTGGTCCCATTGAAAACGTCTGACCAGGCCCGAGCCAAATTTGAGCACCAGCTAAATCGGTAGAGTGGTAGATGCCGCGAGTGTCGAACGTGTACTTCGACAAAATAAAGTCCAAAACAGTATAAAAATTCGAAAAATTTGATCAGGATGCATGTTTTCAAGATTGATAATTGAACTCAGAACGGAAGTAAACACTGAATCGTACACAACACTATCTCGCGACATACTGCCAGAGTATCTGTGAGATATTTCTGCAATAAAATTTATTTGAATTTGAATTTGAATTTGACAGACAATATTCACTTTCGTACGTGTGAACGCTCCGACTCAAACCAGCCTGAGCCAAATTTAGCCCATTTAGCTCGAGCCAAACCAACGCGGTAATAGTCTTAGAATCCCGTCATGCGTTTGACCGAATTTAATTACCGCTGTTCGCGAATTTTTCACGAAATGCAAGCTGCCAGCTTATACGATAATTCCCTCGAGCGAACGCATTATGCTAGGCCTCTCGGTTGTTACCCTTCCGTGTACGACTCGCTTCGGAAAGGAATGGGCGTTTAGGTGTTCTCACTCGTTCTCAGTTTGGACCAGAACCCCGCCCACCGGGGAATGGCAGGGTCTCCTCGGCCGGTTTCAACCTTCAGCTTACAGCACGTGTTGCTGTGTTTAGCATAGCAGCGCGAACAGCTCGGTTTCAGGCTTGCGCGTTGACGAGCAAGAATCGATATAGTGTTTGCAGGGCTGAAGCCAAAGTACTCTGGCACGTGCGCTGGGCACATGTACTCGCAGCAGCTAAAATCTTCATTGTTCGCCCTCTTCGATACAAAATCGCAATTCGTCAAGCAGACTCAGACGCTGTGCTAGATTTACTGCTTTTTTGCCTTGCAGCGTGCAGCGAGAAAAGCAGGAGAAGAAGCGAAAAGAGAAACTGAAGGAATTGCAGAAATTCGGAGAGGAGCTCGCGTTCGACAGCAACAAGACTGAGACGAAGAAAGCCGAGTCAAAGAAGAGCGCCGGAACGTCGAGGAAGGCAGCAGATAAGAAAGCCACCGACAAGAAGGATGCCAAGCAGTTAGACATAAAATCGAGTTCGAAACAAGAGAACATTTAGGCTAAAAAGTCGCCAGATGAGATCGGAAAGTCGTAACTGTGCGTGGGGGGGTGTAGTGCATATCACACAGGTATGGACACTTTAATGTAACTTTTATGTCTTTTTTAACGGTGTGATATAGTGTGTTATTTCTGTTATCTAAATTTGTAGATATAATTAGCAGTTGTAAAGAGGTTAGGGTATCTATGAGTTTATCTGCGGGAAAACAAATGTGTAGGTATTTTTTATGAATACTCGACCACGCCGAGTAAAGTGACAAAGTACGCGATTTTGTAAAAGATATATTCGATATTTGCGCTCCTATCTAACGGCTGATAACTTCAATGAAACACAACTTGGAGGCATTAATTGTTCCGTGAAAGGTATTCAGTTGACCTCTTCTGCGTATGTTCGCGCGTGATGTACACGCACGCGTGCTTTCTTGTGTACGTGTTTACGTGCACTTGTGACTGAATGCATGCGTGCGTGCATGTGCTTAGTTTGTTGTTGGTCTTTACATAATTGAAAGCGTAATTGAAGAATTACACGTGTTTTATCGCAGAGTCCCATGTGGCATTTAAGTAGCAGATGAGATTCAATTATCAGCCACGTAACCGGACGTTCCATTAATGTAGGCTATTTAGTGCAGCATTTGGTGATTGAATTATAAGTAACTAAAAACGTACACTGACATCTCATACTAACTAGAAATAATTGAAAAGATGAGATATATTCTTTGAAGTGGGTTTAATCATATTTTTGACTTGATGTGCTTAAGTACAGCCGGATAAATCAGCAGCCTAGCAGTAAAGCCTCTCTAATACAATTATACGTTTAGCTATCATGCACTACACAACTATTTTAAATGTAAAAAATTAGATTGTACGATCAGGCGAAAATTCTCCAATGCGCGCAGCTAGTAAGCAAACCCTATTCGAGAATTCGGTCGCTCGTAGGTAAGCGGTATAGCCAGTGCTAGAAAAAGGATTCTCTAGGTCTGCCAAAGGTACCTCGTTTATTTTTGCTAAACGTGTACACCTGAACATTTTGTAATGTGTGTATGGCGGTAACAGCAGCAGCGCCTTGTGGGCGTCTGTTTTGTCCCACCAATAGCAATGGGTTTATATTATGGGGGGCAACGGCCTCTGTTACAGAGCCTTTGGTGGACATAGATTTCTGTAAATGCCGTGTGCAGTTTCAGTTTTTAACGCACATTAGCGTTTTACACGTGTCCTGGGGGAAGTGTGCATGCGTGCGTGCGTGTGTGTGCGTGTGTGCGTGCGCGCGTGTGTGTGTGTGGTAAATGGGTAAAGTGCGCCATTCATGGAGCTGCTGTTTTAAAATGGCTGTTACGTAATTAGTCGTGTCAGTTTGACATTTGCCGAGCTTTTCGCTGTGGTTGCGAATTCGTCCATTCGGGTGACGTAATTCTCACAAAGTGCACTGTAAGGGAAAGAAGGGGGGATATCTCTCGTCTGTACTTGTATGCGTCGTGTGCTTTAGCACAGAGAAAAACTGCTGTACATAACTCGGGTGTGTGTGCCTTATGATGAAGATAGCCACTCACCACGCTCTATGTGGTTGCAAGCTGCTACTCCTCCTCCTGACCCACCCCACCCACCCAAAAGAAAATTCTTAGAGCTGGTGTTTCAATCGCGTGTAGCGTTTGCTTGCGAGTCTTCGTGAGTCATTAATCATGGGTGCATTCACCGTGGTGATCAGAGACGCCATCGATGTTTCTTAGTGACGTGACATTAATGGTCGCCATTAAGAGAAAATATCCGATGGCCGGTGTAATCTAAACGACGAAAGGACAGCAAACAAATCCTGCAGCGATATATTGCTGAGCAGAAAGAGCAGCAGATACGGTCGGTGAATGTTATCAGTGATGAATAATATTTGATAAAATTCATTGACAAATTCATTGACAAATTTGTCATTATTAACCCCTGATACTGTCGAGCGCTCCCCTGCCGGTTTTTGGCGATTTCGATCCCGACTTCGTCACTGAATCGCCTGATGTGCGGGCGAAATGTTGGTGACACAATATCGCAAGCTGTGAGGCTTTCAACATTGCCGTTTTTCTTGTTTCGGCCGTGCTACTGCTATCGGAAACATATCTACTTGTTTAGATATAGTTGGTTGAGTACGCCCCCCAATGCTAATGCATAAGCAGGTATGATTGTGTAGGTGGCTTCGTAGAGTGATGTAGGGACCCCGTCGACGTGTCACACACGTGTCGGTTTGCGTGATGAGTATTCGGGTTTTTCATGTACATGTGTGAGCCCAGGTGCATGCGCCACCCCTCCAAGTCTCGGTGTTTTGTGCGGTCGGATACAGATGAACGGCTTGGTTGTGTAATCACATGAATCTCAAGGTAATTGCACACGTGGTCTCCAGCTTTGTCTACGTCCATGTGTGCCATAGTCGTGTGAGAGTACGCGCACAATTAGTGTAATTAATTAGGTGATCGAACATCAACGTGTACATGCCTTAAATGTTCGCACCGTGCCGTACTTAGGGTGGCTTTAACGCTAAATTGGAATGACGGGTGTTTGCTCTATGTAATCTGCACAACGAGCTAGATAGAACTTCTTGCAAGTTAAATAGGAGACGAACAATGGCACGAATAGCTAAATATAGCTTTGGTCGGATTTCTTCGGCTAGTGTGTCTTTTCTTACGGTCTACGTACCGTAGTGTTTACCTGTTCCCACCTTGTGACTGTTAGCTGTTCTGACGTTGTAACTGTTAGCAGTTCCGACCTTGCCCGACCTTGACCAACTGACGACCACTTCTTATACCGCAGCGCGTCGTTTTAAGTTGCCTTTTTTATAGTCGCGTAGGTGCCGTACTCGTGCGGTGAAACATTCCGCGAGGTCGGTGCACTATTACATCTCAACCAAGAGTATCAATATATGTGAACATTGATTGTGAAATCAGTCACGGCTTTATGGTCGCCTACCGGTTTCTAACTTGACTCTGTAGTATCAACGACCTTATAGTGCCGGTCCTATTATACGACTATTGTTAATGTAGTTGAGAGTTAACGTGTTAAGAGTTATAGCAGATAGACCAAACTATAGGTTGACATTTTTCTATTATTTTTCTATCACAGAGAGGGTTTGTCGATACCTCCCCCGCCAACGTCTAGTGCGTCTAGCAGGCTGATATAGCAACAAATTCAGTGGGTACTAATTTTAATCAAAACATGCATGAACAGTGGCTTACTATGAAAATGGTTCGATGCCGTTTATTGTTAGTTGTTTCCAGTTTAATCGTTATTCGTGCGTTCCACGAATGGTTCGTCCTTGGTTGTTATTGGTGCGTGCTAACTTTGCTGCATTGCGCAGTTCGTCATTCATTATTATTCCGCTTCAGTGCTTAGCATCACTTAGTAGGAGTACTTTCTCTTACAGCAGGCATCTAATCGATGCCTCGTTACTCCAACTAATAATTAAACACGCAATTATACGATCAATTCACAAAAGAATTAATTCCATAGATTACGTGATGATTTAAGCCTACTTTTGGCGTGACGCGTGATTTGTAAATTATATAAGCGAGGGGTGGGTTGTAAAATTCAAGTACAGGTATTCACAAAGGCCGTGGGCAAGTCTGTAAAAGCTGCAGTCCGACGGTTGCACGCTTGTGAGTCATGGTTGGTGGCCGCACGGGGTTAGGTTTGTGGAACTGGGGATATCCTTACCACATGGGAACGAAAAATTGTGAGTAGTGTTACGTTTACGTTTAAACGTTGAGATACGTCGGTATAAACGCTTGCAATAATGTTGTGAGTCATGACTGACTCGGACCTGATCAGGAGCGTGACAGGTACCTTATAACAGAAGTAGATAATAGGGAATCCCCTATTATCTACTTCTGCTTATAATCTACTGTACTTCCCTGTTTTCACTACCGTCCCACACTGTATTTCCCAGTGTTTTTCGGAACGTGTTTTGTAAAAATTCCTTGAGGCCTGTCATCGGGAGCTTTGTTTAACTCAGCGTGACTCTTGCATGATGAAATTGTTGTTGGGAATTGCATCAGTGGACGTGTGCTAAGTCACAGCTTAAAGAGACTGTATGCGTTCAGACTCTAGACCCATTGCAGTGTATTGTGGATAAATGAGGAGCTCAGTATCCCGACATGCACTTCGGTAGGAGCCAACAAAATTACGTCAGAGGCACTCGCGGCCCTGATACGTGCACACCGAGTGAACGGGTTAGAATCTGAATATAGTGTAGGCGGTACAACAGACGAAGGGGGAGATGTGTAATCAACAGCGGGTGTTGCAGATAGCCAGCGGGTGTCGCACTTGCTGCTAGCACATACGATGTACGTGCGTTGTGGAGAGCGGCGGTGTCGATTGATGAGCGGGACCCCCTCCCCGGAATTGTTTAATGACTGTAGCGCGAAGTGATGTCGCGTGCGTGCCGAGCAAGCTGGGTTTACACTGACGATTTTATGCAGTCAAGTTGGCGTTTTTCTTCTTTCTACCAACCTCTCTATGTATGTTCAAAGCTCTTACGTTATCGACCGCGAGGCGGCAAGCGTTTCAACATTTGACCCGTAGCGTACGCGTGGGGCGACGCTAATACGCATTTTTGCACGTATCACATGCCGCCAGCGTGACGCCTAAAACAAAAACGTGCTCTCCCCTTAGGGTGGAGGGACACGCCCCTGATTGCTGTTCTCTGATTGGCCACTTGGCAGAAAAACGCCCAACTCGCCTGCTTCGAGTCGGATATGACTGCTAGGGGTGACGGGCGCATGGGAGGGGTCTACGCTATGTTCCTCCGTCCCTATTTTCCCTTGTTCCTATATTCTTATTTTGCTTTACTACGGCTATGTATCGCCACATCACAACAAAACATAATATCAAGAGCTAATAAATACCTAGAGTGTACAACGGGAAAACGGGAAAATAGTGCTATTTCACGGCAATATTATTCTACTTTGTATGCGGTGTAGACTAAGTATTGGTATTGCGTTAAGCAGCATTCTTTGCTCTCTAAAATAAGACCAACCGCTTGTCTCTACGATACTCCTAGGCTGAGATATTGGAGCGTAATCATGCCTCCCACAGGCCTCACGCCGCCTCGCATCCACAATATTCACGATCATTCGCTTCGGGAGAGTTCGGTTTTTTCCGCGAAAACTTTATGAGTGAACGGCGTTTCGGTTATCATCGGTAACTTTTGGGGGGCATCGCCTATGCCCTTATCTCCCATTGTCTTTCCTAGCACGGCTAATGCCCGTCTTGATGAAGCCGGCAATGTTTTCTAAATTAAGTCTCTACAACGCAGCTCAGTTACTATATGGTGTAGTAAGAGTACCAAATTTGGGCATGTGACATCAATTATCAGCGCTCCAAGCGGCGACGGAAAACGATAGCCATACCCGGAAAAGGCGAGAAGGATAGTGAATATTGTGGATGCGAGGCGGCGTGAGGCCTGTGGGAGGCATGATTACGCTCCAATATCTCGGCCTAGGAGTATCGTAGAGACAAGCGGTTGGAAAGAAGAAAATCTCATTATGATGAGAAGAAGATCTCATTATGTGCTGCTATTGGTTGCTGGCGCGGAAGTTGCCGCTGTGAAAAATGGCACCCGAACCCCCTCAAGTCTCACAATTAAAGACGACGAGCACGCGTTATTAAAACAACTTGCTGTGACCCCCATTTGGTCGTCTTTGTTCTTGTACCTGTATGTTTTCCTGGACGTTCTGGCACGACGTGGTATCGCTGGAGAACGATTTGGTAGACATTTGAAAGAAGAAAATGTTACTCGATTGGTTTTGAATGAGACCCCGCAATGTGTTCACTATTGTGCAAGTACCAATAGCTTTCGAAACCAGTACCAATGTTTATATTTGTGGTCCACGTTGGGTTTGATACCTGGCATGCTGGTTTGACGGGTTCGCCAATTGACGTAGGGCGTAAATAAACGGGAATCCTGCTCCTGGTAATAATCGTACATTGTCCATATCACAGCCAGTAAGCCACACGGGTCGTTTACGCATACGACGTAGTATAAGAAGCGTTTTATTTTAAAGTAGAACGTCGCAGCCGCAATAGCCGTTGTCACACGGGAGAAACAAACAGGAACACCACATCTGTCTGGCTCGGGTCTAATCGTGAATGCTGGTCTGTTTGCTTGCGTGCAATCTACACGTGCAGTATAGCGAACGTGTTTGCATTGTGACTGAACGCCTCCTGTACGACGCCATTGGCTTCCAACGTGGTAGAAAAGCAAATACATACGTGTATACGACCTAGATCCTAGTATACACTGCGGACATGGCATGGCGTTTACTACTGGTATTTACCACTGGCGTAATAGAATTGCATTAACCTGGTTAACCGAGTTCTGCTGATTATAGGCAATACAGCTGTTGTATGTTTGTATAGAGTTGTAGGACTATATACGTGTTGCATAAGTTATTTATTTAAAACGTTTATTTTATAGAGTTATCAAGTGTTTATATTAAATTGTTCACGTTACAATGAATTGTGAGACACTAATCAGTGGTGTTTGCACATATGTGTACGTATATAATATATAAATATATATAAATACATGCATATATACGTATCATTAGTTCAGGAGGTAAGATAAGGGATTATCCCTTATTATCTTACTCCTGATTAGTTATATTCAAACTGTTGTTTATAATAATCTGTCAGCGTTTTCCAAGTTTTGTATATGAAATACTAACAAAATTCAAATAGCTATATAGAGGGGTCATTACAGGTTTTATAACTGATTTCTCCTATAGGTATACTGTTAGGGAGAATTTGTGTCTAGCGGGGAAGTCTCATTCCCTTCAACTTGAGGGTTACTTTTCCATACGACGTAATCGAGTAACCGCGGTTGTATGAATCTTCTCGCTTATTATTCCTAACGAGGGTACAGTTGCCACGTAATGTGTTATCATTTGTGAAGCGCATTATATAGGTCTGGAAAATATGGAAGTTTGCAATGTTCTGAAAACTGCGGTACAGTAATGTGGCTACGTGCGACGCAGGCTACATTACGCTATAGCGTGGTAACGATTGTTTACGGTCTAGGTGTATCTAGTGGCAGGTGAATCAAGCCATGGAAGCAGTTGGATATATATTATATATATATATATATATATATATATATACCCACCATATATGAGTATGTACAGAATGAATGCTACCGTTTATTATCCAAACGTATATAGAATTTTTGTTTTGTTCATTGAAATTCCCTCCTGTACGTAAAAATGAACTATCGTATCATTGCGAGGAAATAGCACTGAAAGGGATCATGTGTTTACAGAAATTGTTAGTGTTGTATCTACTTGTAATAAATGCGTAATAACCGACTATATGTCATTGCATCCAGCGTCTATTTTTTTCCGCCGATGTTTTGAGGTCTGTGGTACGATCTGCGATGAAAAAATTGGAATATACATTCAATAAAAATTGGAAATATAAAATATAAATATAAAATAAAAATTAAATAAAAATTAAATATAAATTGGAAGGTACATAGTCATCGAGACTTGCTATCCACTCCCCACCGGTGCCGTATTTATTTATGACAACAGAGGACGTTTGTAAGTGCGGCGCCAGATAGTTTGTATAATAATCAGAAGGATTTGCATTTGTGCTCAACAGCACCGAAAATTTTCGTACAGACATGCTTAATATATAATTAACACTCGCATTTTAGATATCGTGCCAAACTCAATTCTTTTCCTGGGGCGCACAAATAGCAAAAATCGCAAGATGCCACATCGATTCCGGAATATCTTAAAAATGACGATATCTTTGTGACAATGTCGTGTCAAACATGAATAAAGCTGTTCATTTTCCTGATGTTTTCATACATTCGAATCCATTCCCAACCACAAACGACTTGATAAAATGCAATCAAATTTGCGTAAAATCCAAGATGGGCCGCCGTTGCCTCCGCAACTATGGGAAAATCGGCAATAACTTTAACACTGTATGTTACAGGCGTGCTTCCGGTCACGCTTCATCTACCCTTCACCTGCCTGTACCACTTGCGCTTGCCAGCCCGCAACAGCGAAAACGAAATCGTTGCGCCCAGATCAGAGAGCTGTAACGGCCAAGTCAGCAATTCAGGCAGCAAGACATTTTGCCTGCCGTCATTTGCTGTGCCAGTTATTCAGGTTGCCTGATCGATAACGAGGCTTGCGCAACGCCAATAACAGGTTGAGCTGCGATACAGGCGGTAGATAGTGTAGGTGAAGGCGAAACCATACCCGCTGTTATCCAATCATACAAGGTTACAATAACTTTTGAATGAGATTCCACTGGGCGATGATTTGGTGTCCTACACAAAGTTTTTCACTATGTGAGAAACACAATGGAAGTATCAGAAATTATGTAGGATAGTGTGCTGCAGCAACAATAATCCAAGAGTGGCGCACCAATAAAATGCCAATAATCTTTGTGACAAAAATGTCGTTGTAAAAATGAATAAAGTGGTAATTTCTTAAGTGTTTCATACCATGCTGAATCCATTCCAGACGCAAACGAGTTGATAAAATGCACAAACGTAATGAAATGGTCAAATTGTATTATTAAATCAAGATGGCCGCACCATTTCAACTGGACTGAACTCAATTCCGTACGTTACGGAATAATATCCTAAATAGCAATTGTCATACTATATTCCTTCACATATAGCTTGGATTATATTTAATCTCCGAAGAAAAGTTGCAGTTAAGGGGAAGAACAGAAAGTTATACGTCTAAATGGTTGTTACTGATATCACGTGTATTGTGAGTTTCTGGCTACTTCTTCAGCAAATGCAATCCAGTGTCAGGTACCTTGGATTTATGTGTTCAGGCACCAAAGAGAGAGAGAGAGAGAGAGAGAGAGAAAGAGAGAGGAGACCCCCAGCGTAAGAGATTGATAAGAAAGGTAATTGAGAGTGAGATCAGCGAAGAGAGAGAGAGGGGGAAGTGGACAAGAGAGAGAGAGAGAGAGAGAGAGAGAGAGAAGAGAGAGAGAGATAGAGATAGAGAGAGCGATGAGAGAGAGAGAGAGAGTAGAAGAGAGAGAGAGAGAGAGAGAGGAGGAGCGAGATAGAGAGAGAAGAGACACCAGGTATCAGACCAGCCAGAGAGAGAGAGGAGAGAGAGAGAGATAGACAGATGGAAAGACAAAGAAAGAGAAAAGAGAAAGATAGAGATAGAGAGAGAGAAAGCGAGAGAGAGGCGATATCGGCGGGAGAAAGAACGAGAGAGAGAGAGAGAGAAGGTGAGAGAGAGAGAGAGAGAGCGAGAGAGGAGAGAGAGAGAGAGAACGAGTAGAGAGAGAATGAGAGAAGAGAGAGAGAGAGAGAGAGAGAGAGAGAGAGAGCGAGAGAGAGAGAGTAGAGTGAGAGACGAGATGAGAGGGGAGAGAGAGACAAGAGCGAGGCGAGTGAGGCGAGAGGAAATAGATAGAGAGAGGAGAGAGCCGAGAGAGAGAGAGAGAGAGAGAGAGAGAGCAGAGAGAGAGGAGAGAGAGAGGCGAGAGACGAGACAGAGAGGCGCCGAGAGAGAGATAGAGGGAGAGAGAGCGCGCGCGGAGCGAGAAAGAGGGACAGAGAGAAAAAAAGAGAAAAAAAGAACGTGAGACAGGGGAGAGCGAGAGAAGAGAGAGAGAGAGAGAGAGAGAGAGAGAGAGAGAGAGCGAGAGGAAGAGCGAAAGAGAGCGAGAGAGAGAGAGAGAGAGAGAGAGAGAGCGAAAGAAGAGAGAGAGGAGAGAGAGGAGAGAAGAAGACGCGCGAACCAGAAAGAGAGAGCGAGAGAGACAGAGATCCCGAGAGTACAGAGAGCGCGAGCGAGCAGAAGAGGAGAGAGAGAGAGAGAGAGAGAGAGAGAGAAGAGAAAGAGAGAGAGAGAAGAGAGAGAGCAAGAGAGAGGGAGAGAAAGAGAGAGAGGCGAGAGGAAGAGCGAAAGAGAGCGAGAGAGAGATGAGAGAGAGCGAAGAGAATCAGAAGAGAGCTGAAAGAGAAACGAGAACGACGAGAGCGCAGAGAGGCAAGAAGGGAACGCCGGCCAAAAAAGAGAGAGAGAAGAGAAAAAGTAAGAGAGACGTTCGGAAAGAAAAGCGAGCCATACAAAGAACAATGACATATGACGTTGTTAAAAGATTATATAAAGAAACAACAGATATCTTTAATATTATGTTAAAAAATATCTTTGTGAATGAGCTTTAGCCCCCGACGCAGTTGCGCACTTCATAGCGCAGTTCGCATAACATATCATGCTACTCTACAACACAATAATGATGACTATCGGCTTGTACGGTACGGAATATTTGTGTATCAGCGGGTTAGGGTTCTCTAAGTGCTAACTTTGTGTATTCTTATTGTGTGTCTGAACCTGTCACCAGGCGTCTCTGCTAGACAATTATCGGAAATTATGCAGATGAGAATGCTGATTGTTTGGTGATTAGTTGAATTTAAAACGTCAATATATTTACCACAATGCATATCGTGCCTCTTCTTCTAAAGATATCTAAAAAACATCAAATCTTGTTTAACAATAAATCCAATATTATTTTTGAAATTCTAGGATTAAGAGTCGAAACGTACAACAGAATCGTCTTCTTTTCTCCTAATATTTAATAAACTCAAGAATTATGAACCCGGCACCCTAGATTCAGCGACACAGGGCCGTAAATTCCGGCGGGATGGGGATGCATCCCGCCCGTCTTGAAGGAGGGGTGATGTGCGCTGTACAAAATATACCGCGACCGAAATTCAAAAAAATAGAAAAAAAAAAAGAAGGAAGTAAAGAGAAAAAAAGAAGAATGTGCATTGTTTCATTCAGCGTAATGTCATGAGAAGAGTTTTTTAAATGTATGTATAACTGTAATACAGCTATACACGTCTAACATGGCTATTAGCATGGTATCGCAGACAGACTTTTCAAGTGGGGCACGGAGAAGAGGTGACTGCAGAGGCATATGTCTGCAAAAAGTGCTATGTCGGTGCAGTTGGAATTCGATCCATCATATAACGCACATATATCTAAGCTTTTTGCAGCAGATAGGAATTGTCGTCTTGACGCGAAGTTGAGTTTACCGCGAATTATTTAATTGAACACAATGTTGGCTTTGAGGCGGTCAGACAGATGCAAAGAAACTCTTCAAGATAAATGTTCCAGGCTGCACATATAGCCAAAAGAGTATGTTGCAACATACAAAAACACGTGAATATTGTGAAAATTGCCTAATTCTTACCTGTTTTTAATACAATATTATTACTATAATAACCTAACTGTGTACGGCTATCATGAAAGTAAATGAAAAAAGTGTTTTTGCAAATCTAATGCTGTAGACTTGAGTCTAGGGTGAGTATAGTTCATCGTATGGCCACAGTATGCCCTCAGATTGCAGAAAATGCTTTAAATATTTCAAAATTTATCTGGTGGAGCATGCCGCCAGTACCCCCCATAGCACTGCATGCCACCGGCACGTGCCAAACGTACGTTTGTAAAATTTGGCATGTAGCGTGCACGTATGGTACTACATATAGTATGTATGTACGTGTGTTTGTGTGGTGGTGTTTGTTGTTTTGTTCGTTGTGTTATGTGTGTGTGTGTGTGTGTCAGTGCGTGCATGTGCTGGTGCGTGACGTGTGTGGTATGTATGTTCGATACCGTGCGGCGATCGCTGCGCGTTGTGCGGTAAATTATTGTGCGGCTTGTGCTCGATGCTAGTATGTGATGGCTAATCGCGTCATGCCCCCCCCAATTCCCCGGGTAACGAATTTAGCCCCTGTCATTCGCACACTTCACGTACTCATTGCCCCCCCGCCCCTAAAATAAATCTATCTACGCGCTGCAATATACTTACACGAAATTTCGGCAATGGAAACTATATAGATTATGAAACTATAAAGTCTTGAGTGCTTTAGTGTGCTGCTAAGATCTTATTATAACGTATATATAATGATTATAATTATAATTATATTTATAATTATAAAATATAATTGCTAGCATGGCGCGCGGATTCATCTGACGACGAGTATTGCTGCTACTGCTGCTACTCTTCTGACTGCTGCTTGCGTCTAACTGCTACTTTGTGTGTGCTGCTGCTCTCCTACTACTACTGGCTGACTGGCTGCTGCGCATGCTACTGTTGTTGTTGTTGTTGTTGTTGTTGTTGTTGTGTTGCCGCCGCGCCGCCGCCGCCGCCGCCGCGCCGCGCGCCACCACCACCACCACACCACCACCGACCACCAACCACCACCACCACCACAGCAACCCCCGAACCACACACACCAGCCACTAACGATCACGGTACTGACTACGATACTACTACTGCTATACTAGCACTGATGTGCTGCTACTGCTACTGCTGCTAGCTGTTGTTGTTTTGTTTG